TCAGATACATCTGATGCTGAAAGTTGGGCAGGTTTAAGAGAATCCTCTGGCTCAGAAGAACCTCTGAGGTCCAGATCAGATCAGAGGGGGGGGTTCTTTGGGGTGTCCTCCCTCTGGTGCTGCTGTTGATGTAAAGAGTTCCACTTTGAGCTCTGTAACCTCTCTGCTCTGTGTTATTTCCTCTCTGCAGGGCAGAAAATCAACAGCTGAAGCTGGACAGAAGGCCTGGATGACCTGTGGAGCTGGAGAGGAGAGAACCATCCCAGCTTTAGAGCGCTCAGACCTGATCTGAGGCCAGATGTTGTTTTTTTGTACAGAGATGGTCGCTTTGAGTCAGACCTTTAGGAACCGGGTGGATCTGCAGGACAGACAGATGAAGGATGGAGACGTGTCTCTGACTCTGAAGGATCTGACCGTAAATGATACAGGAACATATCAGTGTAGAGTCAGTGAGACACAAGATAGAAAGAGAGAAATGTTCAAGACACCACCTCCACCATCCATATGGACGTAGCTCCTCCCCCTCCAGGTGAGTGTGTGTGGCTCTGAGGGATCTTCTCAGATGGAGAAGATATCCATATTTTCCTCCCAGAGTCTCAGCTTCTTTGGCCTTTGTGTATCTGAGCTCCTTCTGGCACAGCTGAACTTTTCATTTAAGGCCAAAGAGACTAAATCTTTCCACTTTTTACTGGTTAAAGCCCCTCCCAGAGCTTCACTGGACTCATTTCCTCCATTTGGTCTGAATCCAGACGCTCTCCTGTCTCCAGCTGCCCTTCACTCCTCTTATGGTCAGCTGGGGGCTCCTCTGGGAGCTGGGCCCCCTGAAGCCTCCTGCTGACCCCTGCTGACCCCTGAGTATGTATCACAGACTGAAGCATCCTGAGTGTTTTCATCACAGACTGAAGCATCCTGAGTGTTTTTATCACAGACTGAAACATCCTGAGTGTTTTCATCACAGACTGAAACATCCTGAGTGTTTTCATCACAGACTGAAACATCCTGAGTGTTTTTATCACAGACTGAAACAT